TTTCAGATAAAAAAATGGTGCTATGAGATGGTGAAATTCATGCATCTCAGAAGACCTAGCTCATTTAATCTGTTAGTCGACTCTACTGTTTTGTACTATCACCAAGCCTTGCTATAGATTACTTGTGGTATAAACCAACAATTTATTGTTTAAATTTTCGAATAGTTAAATATACTTTAGGTTCCATGCATATCCATATCCCACTAATACGGTGCGTTTCATCCAATTTCTTGCTCCTCAATTGTAAGATCCTATTTTGTTCTCAAGAGTTATGGAAAATATAGTAGTCTTTTTTCAAAAAAGAAAAGAACAGGTCCAACACATAAGTTTATTAAATGAACTGAAATGTTTTTCAAACCAAAACTTACCAGACTTTATCATAATTTTTAGCTCAAGCGGACCTGTAAGGAGTCAAATATTTCCAAGTGAAAAAAATGAAAAAGAAAAAAAGGTATATTTTGCTTGAGAAAACAACATCGTTTTTGTGGCTCCAAAAAACTTCTTGCCTCCCTTGTCCAAAAACAAATTAACGTTACCATAATTTTTACATGAGAAGGAGTAGGAGGAATAAGAAGAAGAAGAAGAATAAGGATGAGGGGAGTAAGAACAACCTATTTTAACATATTGACTTTTGCCGAAGAAGGTTTTCATCGATAATTTTACCGGTAAATCCTTATGCTGTAAAATTACCGATTGAATTGCCCGCAAAATTTTTAATATGTTTTTTTTTTAATCTATTAGCTATTCCCTCTCTAATTAGTGACTAAACATAATCTATTTAGCAATTGTGGCGGAAAATGCCCAGATAAGTTTTTTTATCCTCATTTTCATTAAAAAAATAGCTATATAAATTTTTCTCTCAATATTTCCATTATTATTTATTAATTTTCTAGTAGTAAGAGAATTTGTTTCCAGTTGGCTTGCAAGTTTGAATCGAGAGAAGAGAAAAACTCCAAACCAAGATGCAAAAGTTGTTAAAGTGTGTTTGGATGGGAGGTGATACGGGTTTTTTTCAAAGATATAATATTTTTAAAGTATAAATAATATCTTCAAAAATAAAAAATACATTTTTTTATATAAATTATATAAAAAAAATTAAAACCATCTCCAAACCAAACAACCTGGACCGAACGAATAAATCGTGCAAAAAAGAGGAGGAGAAGAAAAGGGACAAGCACCCTTTAGGAGCGGGGCAACCAGCGCGAAGCTGGTAATGGTTCATGTGGAAACAACACACACACACACACACAGAGACAAGGAGTTGGTGAGAGCTTGAAGGACCCGAACAGCCCAACCAAACCAAAAGTAACCCTTACCCAACCCACCACATCTAAAAGGACACCATGCCTCTTCCTTGAGCTTGGTTGCACAGGATGCGGGGCGGGGTTGCTCCGTTTTGGATGGTCATGCGACAGCTTTTGTGATAATCATATCAATCGGCGACTTTTAAGCACATGTTAGGTACTCCGTTTTTATCTAAACAAGGACATTGCAACCAAAGTTTAGTGATAAAATAACGTACGTACATTACTTGTAAATGAAACACCGTTATCTTCACATGTTTTTCTTAACCTTTTCTTTTGCCTACCCATACTTAATTTTTTTTAATCATTTTAAGCTTAATTTATTTATAATAATTTTTTATTTTTTTGTAATATTCTTTTAGTTTTTATTTTTTTTTTAAATTTTTTTTAAAATATATTCTTTATATTTGGCCTATTTATCACTCTACCACTTAATCTATCTATATCTTTTTTTTTTTGTAATATTTTCTTTTAATTTTCTTAAAATATTATACAAAGATTAAGGAAAATAATGTATTAATATAACAATTGTAATATTGTCTTAGTTTTATAATATGTTAAAAATAAACTTGAGATTTTATAAATTCTTATTAGTTCAAATTATCTTTATTATATTTTATTATATATAAATACTATCTTATTGATTCATAATTATATTTTTTACTTGTTATTAAAAAATTAATAAAATCTATATATTAATTCATTTGAACTAGAAAATAATTATTTGATCTATGGTTAGGTGAGTCGAATAAATATATTAATCTTTTTATATTTATTAGCACAAATAATTTTTGATTTATTTAAATAAATAAATAAATAAATAAATATAGTTTTTGATTTATAATTAAAAATTTTATTATAAAAAACATTTTAAAAGATAATATATTTTTTTTGCTAAAATAATTATTCTAATAATAAATTACAAGTCAAATAACTTGTAAAAACTAAAATTGCAGATGGGTAGATTCCTTGATTTTATAAACAAAGCCAAATGTATTTACCTTAGCTATCCAAGACTAATAACGATATACCCTTCTAACAAAGAATCACGCTTTTTTGAAACTTAATTTGATGGGAATATAAATAGTCAAAGCAAGGCGTTTAGTTTGGAAGTATTTGTCATCTATCAAGTCAAAGAAAAAAGTCAAACTAAAATCAGGTAAAGGTCATGTCTGCATCATAATTGTGGGAACTTTTGTTGGTAGGTAAGGAAGTCTTTTCAGTGGTTTTTATTTATTTATTGAATTCGTTTAGAAAGGTGTTTCATACAATCCATTTTTGTAAAAACTACAATTTTTTATCCCTCCAAGTATGGTATATGTTTAGTTTTGTTCTGTCCATCAAGATTTCAAAAGCACCCCGTAATCATTTACTTTTTAAACAAAATTCTTAAATTATACCTAATTTAATTTGCACATGTTTTAAACCATATATTGAGAGAATGAATTTTAAAAAAAATAGTATAACTTTTCTATAGACTTAAATTTAATAAGTTTAAAAATCACTCTATAAATTTAAAAAATTCCATCTAATAAAAAAGATCGAACCTATTAACTAGGTCAAACTATTCTTGGGTTCAGGTGCTTGAATCTAGTTATTGGCTCTTAGGTGCAATTTGTTTATAGTAAAGAACTTTTATATTCCATTTCATCATTAAAAATGTTACATGCTTTGATCCACGTCTCATGATAATATCCACGTCTCATGATAATACTAAGAAGATCACATATTTTCTTTCTTTTACTATGATTTCTCTCAATTAGTGGGCTCTCAAGCCCTCGTATCATTATTATTAGGAAGGCTATATGCCTCCCACTTTCCAGTGAAATTTTTCTTTAATAGTAAGCTTTCATGCCTCACGTGTAACTATAATCCTCCACTTTTCAATATAATCTTGGATTGGAATGAGGTTTTCAAACCTCACATCATTACATGGAATAACCTTTGAGGTGTTTCTGTCAACCTCTTAAATTTTTTTTCTAATTACAAACATTATTATGATTTAAGTGCAGTATTTAAACTCAATTAACCAAGTATATTTGGTGAGTATGGTGCCCAATACATTAGGTTTTTCTATTATACTATCAGACATCTTGGTTATAGAAAATAGATTGAATTACTAAAACTAAATAATTAATATATTATCCAATATATATGTTTTATATCTGAAAACATTGGATTTTGGGACCTTAGTGGAGATTGGAGAATTTGTAACAACCTTTTTCCTTAGGGTGATCTAAATCTCGAATGCATAAAGTGAAAAAAGAATCGAGGTTTTTTTGTGTGATTTATATAGTGAATAAAAGTTGTGTGTATTTTGATTGCGAGAACAAATGACTGTTGGATGGAAGGCCGATCTTGCATGAATACTTATGATTCAATGGTTCAATGGAAACCATGGAGAGACTAAGGGACTAATTGAAAATAGTATGTTAGTTGGAGGGTTCGAATGTATTATGCCCAAACGTTCTCTTATTCCTGTATCATCTCTGAGAAATTCATCCGAAAATAATAAAACAAAATGGCTTTATTTATATAAAAAGCTGATGCATAGGATACCAAAAGCGCCTTGTCCACTAGGAGCATCAGACTTCGAAAATAAGACCACTTTCCCTGTAAGTTATCATCTCATCTTTAATTTCTTTGAACTTGTAGACGTAGGCTTTAAGTGTTCTATGATGTTCACTCACATGTTGAAGAACTCTTGTCATTCCTTAGTGACGAATCACATAAAAATGATGCATCTTTTCCTAACAATCATGTTCAAGACAATCAGAGGAAAATCGGACCCACTTTTCCCTTACATTAGGTATGGAGTCTGGGTTAAGTCATCTTCATGAAATTAGTCCCTTTCACATTCAAAGAGTTTTGTGGAATCAAGTGGACCTAATTCTACTCACCATATTTACTCATTCCACTATATAACACCCCCAGCTACTATCCTAAAAGCAACCCAAATACCTTCTTCTCTTCTCTTCTCTTCTCTTCTTTTCTCTTCTCCGGGAAAATGGCCGGTTTAATTTCAAGATCAGTTCCTTGTGCAATCCTAGTAATCTTGTGCACGGTGGTGCCCATTTTGGCTAAAGATTACACTGTAGGAGATAGTTCAGGCTGGGCAATTGGTATGGATTATAGCACCTGGACTAGTGGCAAGACCTTTTCAGTTGGCGACAGCCTTGGTGAGTCCCCTTCTCTCAGTACACGTTACTGATCAAGATTAGTACTTGATTTACTAATCAGGTTTCTGTTTATATAATCTAGTGTTTAACTACGGAGGAGGCCACACGGTGGATGAAGTGAGTGCCAGTGACTACAAGACATGCACTACAGGCAATGCAATCACTTCAGATAGCAGTGGTGCTACCACAATAGCCCTCAAGACTGCCGGAACTCATTATTTCATTTGTGGTGTTCCTGGCCACTGTGGGAGTGGCATGAAGGTTGCAGTCACTGTTGCAGCAGCAGGATCGAGCACAAGTCCCTCCTCCTCAGGAACTCCATCTTCTGATGGCACTACCACTTCTCCCGCCGGTAGTAACGTCACCAATTACAAGCCTTCATCCAACAACGTACCCGATTCATCCTTAGGGATCAATATTTCCCCAATTGTGGCTATAGCTGGTACTTGTGTTGCCGTTTTTGTGATGGTTCTCTCATGAATTGCCAGGATAGAGGCAGTGCTCTGCTAGATCCCTCTTTTTTTTGGTTCTTGCTTTTCCTGAAGTTCTGCTTGTATTCAGGATTATTACTGTTTATCGTTACGAACGAGTAGTGATATGAGATTATAGATTAAGTATGTGATCATGGTTCTCATTTGTACCCCTCAAAATTCTATTTCGTTTCTGCCAGCATAGGTTCAGTTTAATCCCTCTGCTTTCCCCCATCCCTCTCATTTGAATGCGGATGGTCATTCGATCATTAATCTCTTAGTATTAGGTAAATTTACTTCTTTTTCTAATAATTAAGTCGATTAATATAGAGAAGAGTAATATTTAATTGTAAAATACCAAAACTCCTTAATCTTAACAAAAATGGTTACAACTGAATAGTATGGTGACCCATTTTGATCCATGATGTTCACCTGCGAGCTTCTAAAATTAGAAGGTGAATTGGAATCCTCTACCATCGAAGCGTGATTTTCCAAATTAACTAATGTATTTTTCTTTTCTTTTTTTTCTTGGTATAAAACGCGGCAAAGCCCGCGAGAACCAAGGAAACAAGTGACCAACGGAGAGGGGCACCCTTTTCATCCTTGAATAATAAAAGTCTTACAAGTTAGCCCAAATTCTGATGGCTAACCCACCTCTGTGCTTGACTGAAAGGAAAGAACATATGTTTTTTTCTTGATCTCCCTTCCACCATCCTTTCGAACATAGATACATGCAACTTTGAAGCTCAGATTTTGTCTGTTTAATACTAAATGCTATAACTAAGTTAAGTGGCGAACTTGCTCCCTTCACTTTTTTCTGCCACCATGTCCCCGAGGCTTGAAGGGTACTGAGACGCTCACAAAATATGGTATAGACTAAATTTAATAATGATTCTCTATATATATAAAAAAATATTAAATTTAATAATCAACTAAACTAGTTAGAAGAAATAGTAATATAATTACTAACATGATAGTTTTTTCCCATATAGTAAAGAAAAACAAAATAAACCAAGCCGCGCGCGATCAATGAATAAACATTGTTGTTTCCGTAGCTAATTCTTCAAATTTGGAAACTTGGATGGTCTTTATCTTTTTTGGTCCTTCTAATTCCTTGAATGTTTGGACTTGGTCCCTAAACAATAAAATTCTTGTAATTGAACTCGATTAATCATGGTCAATTGAAAGAAATTTATTTTGATGTCAACACCAAGCTATGGCCTAGTTAAATAAGAGAGCCAGATTGAGCTTCTGCTTTCTTTACGCCTAGACTCTGAGAATAACCTGCCTCAGTCCATGCATAATTGGGTCTGCAATTAATGAAAGTGAAAACTAATTTTACTAATTGAAGTTTTGGAAAGTTTTTAAAGGCGTGATGCGTCTACATCCTGTCCAAGATCACAAGTTATATTAAATATTACATTGGATAAAAATTGAAAATCTGACTCTCAATCTTCTCAAGCAAAATGTTCTCAAAGACAGTGATAGGACACGCTGGGAGGATTCCTTTGCCGTACGAAGGCTAGCTCTTTGGAGGCACTCATAGGACTGGGGATGCTGTGGTATCATTCATGGAGACAGGTAATTTGTTCCACAGTTCCAGCCACAACAGGGGGAGGAAGAAAGACGCAGGCATTTTGCTGTTTCCAAGGCAACAGAGGGAAAGCTAGAAAGAATATAATCGATGGATTCAGGATTTCCTCTCCAAGGCCCAGCACCCAATCACACAAATCGTTTGCCCGCTTCAAAAAAGTCCTCTGCCAATACAAATTGCGTGACAGTTTGTCCTTGCAAAACCAGATGTCGTTTGACTTTGAAGTTTGATTTCATGTGTATGAAGAAATCGCTGGTGGATTCAAAAAAGAAAGGAACGACATGTAGTTTTCCTAAAGAAGGCAAACAAAGAAGAGAAGCCTAATAAATAACGGGCAGAGGGTGGACCGACCTGATTAACCACCAGTCTCCTTTTCTGAGCAACGAGAAGAGAACAAATTAACTACATTAAATCAACGCAGGGTAGCTACTTAATGGGCCAAAAGGCTCAAGGTTAAATAAATAAAACTGAACAATGTTGTCCAATTAATCCATCTATTCGGCTTGTAACGAAATGTTGTGTGTTTACTGTTGAAACCATATAACCCACCCTTATATCTTTATATCGGGCCCATCTCCGATCACAATTAAGGATAATAAAAAAGGTGGGATATATATATATTTGACAATCATTTCTGCATGTCTCCTACAAAACAAGAAAAAAACCCAAAATCTAAAATTCATATTAATAATGTAAATATATATAAACTTTAATTAAAATAATTATTAAAAAACTTAAAAAGAGCTATTTAGCTCGAAAAACATTTTCACTTCTTTTTTTTTAATATGCTTTTTTTTATATAAGTTTCTTTATATAACTCTATTGGAGTTGGTTTATACTTCAATTGTTTTTTTATAAAATAAAAAAGTTTAAAAAAATCTAAAAATAAAAATTAAATTATAAATAAATATACAACAATAAGCTCTTATCAAATGCCTTATACGGTTCACAAATGAAAGTGCTCTCTTGGTATATTTACTCGCTAAACTATGATTTTTTTTTATTTTTATTTTGAGTATTGGATCATAAGCGCTTTTTAAATTCATATGATGTCATAAATTCTTGAAACTTTTCTAAATTACCCTTCATGATGTGTTTTGGTTTATAATTTTCTCATAACACTATATCATCAAGTAAGCTTTGTTCATTGTATATTTATGGGCATCAAATAAAACTTATCTAATTGCATTATGATTTTCTCGCACTTTTCTGACCAGCTATTTAGCTCGAAAAACATTTTCACTTTTTTTTTTAATATGCTTTTTTTATATAAGTTTCTTTATATAACTCTATTGGAGTTGGTTTATACTTAAATTGGTTTTTTTTACAAAATAAAAAAGTTTAAAAAAATCTAAAAATAAAGATTAAATTATAAATAAATATACAACAATAAGCTCTTATCAAATGTCTTATATGGTTCGCAAATGAAAGTGCTCTCTTGGTATACTTACTCGCTAAACTATGATTTTTTTTATTTTTATTTTGAGTATCGAATCATAAGTGATTTTTAAATTCATATGATGTCATAAATTCTTGAAACTTTTCTAAATTATCCTTCATGATGTGTTTTGGTTTATAATTTTTTCATAACACTATGTCATCAAGTAAGCTTTGTTTATTGTATATCTATGGGCATCAAACCACAAACCGCGCAACTTGGCACAAAAACTTATTAAACAATAATATAACATTTTACTATTTAAAACTTATCTAATTGCATTATGATTTTCTTGCATTATGATTTTCTCGCACTTTTCTAACTACTTGCTCATTTTTCGTGTCTTAGTAAAACTTTTTCTTAAAATTCAATTCAAACATTGAATAGTTTTCAAAATTATGGGAAAACCATATAAAAAAGTATAAATTATTTATCCGATCCAACCTATGATTTTCCCCAACATATATTTACTACATTCATCCATTCAGGATGACCCTAAAGTCAACTTTATTAAAACAATTGTTCTTTAAATGATAATTTTATCATACTTGTTATTAAATGAAAAACTTCAATATTGATAAACCTTAAAATTAATTCATGAAAGTTATTTTTTATTTAATGAAAAACTTAAAATAACCTAATATAAATAAATAAGTTTTTTAGTGAGAAAAGACATGATTTATGTAAAATTGTCGACCTTCCATTCTACCATAGTTTTGATTGTATATTAATCTATTTTTGAAGGGATTTCAGCTCTTTTACCCATATTAAATGAGCTTTGATCGATAACATATGCATATAATATCTTTTTAAGTGTTTTTCTATTATTGACATCTAAATTAATGACACATTTATAATCACTAACACTACTACTTGATTAAGTAGCAATGTTCTTGTTAAACTTGAAATTTTTTTCTCCTTTGAAACATGGTGTCTATAAGAAAACAATAACACAAATCAAAATGTTTATGAAGATACTAATTCTAATAATTTTACAATAAGTTGATAAGTGATTTAACAAAATTTTGATAGCATTTCCTATAAATTAATACATTTTAATTGTTATCAATTTCCTAAAAAAATAATTTTCTCAAATTTTCAACTTGACAATAAAACTAATAAAATATAATTGACAAGTATTAAATAACTCATTATTTCTTCAATTATAATAACACACTTAAGTTACAAAATCAAACTCAATTTCATCAAATGACAAATGAATTCAATTTTCCTCAATCTCAAACAATTCCTAACATATAAATCATACATTAATAAAAAAATTATTTTTAAAAAAAAAGATAAAACTCTTAAATATATAAGCAAACTACAAATAGTATTAAAAAATTTCAATAAATTAACCTAAAACATAAATAGATTACAAGAAAAATATATAGATTTGCTTCCTTAATATAGCAGAGCTTCACAATATATTAAATTAAAAGAGAAATGTTAATACCATTAATCGATTTAGATCGATATTGGTGGTTTAAGGTGGCTAGAATTTTTAGGATGATGGCTGGATTATTTTATAAGAAAATAAGTGGAGGGGGCTACTGGTTTTTTGGATAGGAAGAAGAAGAAGACAGGGAGGAGGGAAAAGAGGATTGTCAAGTCTTATTTCATTTAATTTTTGATGGAATGTCCATCAACAATTCCATAAAAAAAATATTGATATGTCGAATTTTTAATGAAAGTGCAAACTATTTTTTTTATTTTTTTTTATTTTCTCTATTTTATCATAAATTATCAATGGGACAAATTCCGTCATAATTTTGGTTTGTAACTACAAACATAAATTTTCCATGGCTATTTATATGAGAAAGTATGATAAAATATTTTCTATTGGTATTTTCATTACTATTTACTAATTTTATGGTAATGTATTAAATTTCTTTAACACAAAAAAAAAGTTTGTTTCTTTACTAGAAGGGAGGGGAATGTAACTAGAATTTAATGGCAATGTAGGGTATGAAGATTAAACCTAATATTTAGGGTGTTATTGCACCTACAATACATGTTGTAAATTAAATATGTTTTTAAATACAGACTCATAAAAATTAGCAATATTAATTCAAATCATAAATATTTATAATATCCACAAAAAATTTAACTCAAACCAATATATTTAATTCGCTCAATTCTAAAAATACTGAATGAATCGGATTTATAATATGTAAATATCAAAAGTTAGATAGTATATAATTATACACTTAAACCAAATCCAACTATATTATGAACACCTCTAATTTTGATTTCTATCAATTTAATTGTGCATCTTCTGAATTTTGCATGAGACGAAGACCTTGTCACTGGGATTAGAAAAACATTGAATTGATCAGGCATTTTGAATTCTATCAATGTAATCGAAGTCTAACCTGGTATGTGTTTGGTGTCGCGATTAAAGGTGAGAACCCTCGGGTCCTTAGATCTTTATGCTTACCTTAGCTGTTCTGTCTGGATGTAAAATAGGGCATTTTGCGTTCCCAAAAACGGGATCATTCATTACAAAGCTAAAATGAAATCAATCAAGAAACAAAATGTTTGATGATGGAAAATGTGGTACTAGTGTTATAAAGAGATGAGATTAAGCATTACGTGTTAGTTCAAGTAGTAAGTGGATTTGTATCCTGTTGTCATCCAAGTTTGAATCGAGAGTAGAAAAACTCGTCTTCGTGCACCAAGATGCAAAAGCTGGAATGAGAATGTGCTAAATTCGAAAAGACAGAGAGAGCGAATAAATCGTGCAAAAAAAGGAGGGGGGTGGGTAATGGGTTGAGCTAGAAGAAGAAAAGGGACAAGAGCACTTTAGGAGGGAGGGCAACCAGAGCGTAGATGGTAATGGCTCAAGTGGAAACAACACACATGAGCAGTTGGTGAGAACTTGGATGAACCCTCACAGCCCAACCAAACCCGGAGCCACTCTTACCAGACCACCACATCTAAAAGTACACCATGCCTTTTTTTTGAGCTTGGTTGCACAGCGTGCCAGGTGGGGTTGTTTCGTTTTGGGTAATCATGCGATAGTTTAAATACCTTTGTGATAATCATGCGATAGTTTAAATACCTTTGTGATAATCATATCAATGGTGACTTTTAAGCACATGTTAGGTGCTCGGTTTTTATCTAAACATGGACATTGCAACAAGATTTAATGCTAAAATAATATACGTACATTACCTGTGAATTAATCGTCGCCGTCTTCTGATCATGCCTTCAAATAACATGCAGATAAACAAGTGTAGATTTTTCAGTGAAGATTTTATGAAAGTGCCCGTTCTCCTTAAGATTACCTGTGAATGAATCATCGCTGTCAGGCTGATCCTGGGTGGTTTTTCTCCATGATGTTCAGAAGATATAATTATATAAATGATGGAATTTACATTAAAAAAGTTTCAGTACATTCTTAGCAGAAAAGCAATATCGACGAAGACAAATGATGCTGTTTAAGACAAACTTGGGTAATGTTAATTTACCAGTAAGAGATTTGGCTGCTTTTCTGAATTCTCAAGAGACTTTCACTAAAATGCACAGCCATGTTAAACAATTTACATTCAACTTAAAAATTAAAATTGTAAGATGGGTAGCTATCCAAGAATGATTAATAAACGATATATCCTTTTAACAAAGAATTACGCTTTTTGCAAACTTAATTTTGATGGGCATGTAGTTAACAAGTATTTGTCATCGATCAATTCAAAAGCCATGTCTGCATCGTAATTGTGGGAATGGAGGGGGCTTTTGTTGCTAGGGAAGGAATGCCTTCTTAGTTCATGGCTTTGGACTTCGGACAAGGAGAGCATAGAATGTTCGTTTAGAATAGGGTTACCATTTTTGGAAAAATTACAATTGAACCCTCCAACTATTATCATATATGTTTAATCTACAATCCTCGTCCGCTAGAAGAAGTTTGGGTTCAAAGGAGGCCTTTTCATCCGCTCAATGTAAACCATGTAGAGACCAAGGGACTAATTGAAAATAGTATGTAAGTTGGAGGGTCTGCATGTATTATGTCCAAACATTCTCTTATTCCTGTATCATCTCTGAGAAATTCATCCGAAAATAATAAAACAAAATGGCCTTTTTTAAAATAAGAAGCTGATGCATAGGATGCCAAAGGCGCCTTATCCATGAGGAGCGTCAGACTTGGAAAATAAGACCAATAATTCCCTGTAAGCTATCATCTCATCTTTTATTTTGTTTGAACTTGTAGACGTAGGCTTTAAGCGTTCCATGATGTTCAGTCACATGTTGCTGTCTACTTGATTATGGAATTTAATTCATTCGGCCCATAAGAAGATAAAACGATTATGACGTTGAAGAACTCGGGTCATTCCTTAGTTACGGGTCACATAAAAATGATGCATCTTTCCCCACCAACCATCTTTAAGTGAACCCACTTTCCCTTGCATTAGGTATGGAGTATGGGTTAAGTCATCTTCATGAAATTAGTCCCTTTCACATTCAAAGAGTTTGGAGGAATCAAGTGGAGCTAATTCTACTCATTCCACTATATAACACCCCTAACGACCATCCTAAAAGCAACCCAAATACCTTCTTCTCTTCTCTTCTCTTCTCTTCTCCTGGAAAATGGCCGGTTTAATTTCAAGATCAGTTCCTTGTGCTATCCTAGTAGTCTTGTGCACGGTGGTGCCCATTTTGGCTAAAGATTACACTGTAGGAGATAGTTCAGGCTGGGCAATTGGTATGGATTATAGCACCTGGACTAGTGGCAAGACCTTTTCAGTTGGCGACAGCCTTGGTGAGTCCCCTTCTCTCAGTACACGTTACTGATCAAGATTAGTACTTGATTTACTAATCAGGTTTCTGTTTATATAATCTAGTGTTTAACTACGGAGGAGGCCACACGGTGGATGAAGTGCGTGCCAGTGACTACAGCACATGCACTACAGGCAATGCAATCACTTCAGATAGCAGTGGTGCTACCACAATAGCCCTCAAGACTGCCGGAACTCATTATTTCATTTGTGGTGTTCCTGGCCACTGTGGGAGTGGCATGAAGGTTGCAGTCACTGTTGCAGCAGCAGGATCGAGCACAAGTCCCTCCTCCTCAGGAACTCCATCTTCTGATGGCACTACCACTTCTCCCGCCGGTAGTAATGTCACCAATTACAAGCCTTCATCCAACAACGTACCCGATTCATCCTTAGGGATCAATAATTCCCCATTCGTGGCTTTAGCCGGCAGTTGTGTTGCCGTTTTTGTGATGGTTTTCTCATGAATTGCCAGGATAGAGGCAGTGCTACGCTAGATCCGTCTTTTTTTTTTGGTCGTTGCTTTTCCTCAAGTTCTGTTTGTATCAGGATTATTACTGTTTATCGTTACGAATGAGTAGTAATTACTAATATGAGATTATAGATTAAGTATGTGATCATGGTTCATAATTAAGTATCACTTTTTTCCTCATGTGTGCCCCTAAAAATTCTATTCCGGTACTTTAATCCTTTCGCTTCCCTCCATCCCTCTCCTTGGAATGCGGATGGTAATTAGATCATTAATCTCTTATTAAATTAGGTAAAGTTACTTTTCAAATATAATTAAGTTAATTAATCTAGAGAAGAGTAATATTTAATGGTAAAATACCAAAATTCATTAATCTTAACAAAAATGGTTACAACTGAATAGTATGGTGACCCATTTTGATCTATGATGTTCACCTCCGAGCTGGTAGAGTTAGAAAGTGAATTGGAGTCCTTCATCATCGAACATGATTTTCTAAATTAATAATTTAAAACTAAATAAGCTCACATGAGCATGAATTAGTAATCAGTCGTATTCCCAAACAAACATTATTTATGTCAACTGTCAAGTGTTATTGTCAAACTCTAAAATCATTTCAAATAATAAACCATGAGGTCTAATTGAACAAATGGCTATAAAGACAGTAAAATTTAAGGAAAAAAATATACATGAGAAAGCTTGAAAGAAGTTAGTACAAAGATTGAGATTATGTGTTGAGGTAAGTCAGAAATTACAATAATAATTTTTCTCTATTAAAAAAAATATTAAATTTAATAATCGTGTAAACTTGAAAGTCAAACTGAACTAATTAGAAAAGATAGAAAAAGAAAAATAATTACTAACGTAATAGTTTTTTCCTATATAGTAAAGGAAAATAAAATATAAACAAAATAAACCAAGCCGCACGCGATTAATGAATAAACATTGTTTTTTCCGTAGCTAATTCTTCAAATTTGGAAACTTGAGTTGTCTTTATCTTTTTTTGGCCCTTCCTATTCCTTGAATGTTTGGATTTGGTCCCTAAATAATAAAATTATTGGAACTTAACTCAATTAATCATGGTGAATTGAGAAGCTTGGGACAGTTGTAGATTGAGGTTCGTATTTCAATTTACCTTTTTATTAAGGTGGTGAAATTAAAAAATATTTATAATTTTTTAGTCTATTCAAAATAAAATAATAAAAAAAAACATGAGCCAAATGTAAAGGAAAAAAAAATTAAAGGGATGGTCTGAAATTTTAAAGGGGTTGATGTTGAGTTCCATGAGAAGAAGAAAAAAAATGATTAAAAACAAAGTCATTGTGAAAGAGTAAATTTTGCCTTTAAAGACATCAAATTAATTATGTTATTTAAAAAAAATTAAAAAGACCATAACACCCTAATAAAAGGCATCATTTTTTTTCTAGAGTTAAATTAATAATTTTATTGTGCAATACAAAAAAAGCTAGATGACTAATCTAATCTTATATAAATTGTAAGAGATAATTTATGTCACTTTAAAAAAATCACTTTATTTTTTCTGGCATTTATTTTAAAAGTTTCATGGCTGATGAGCAATTTTATTATTATAATGAATAATATTCTGAATATTGGTGAATAGTAATTTAAACCAACTTATTTTTGCTAATGTACAGCAAAACCAGAAACAGGGGCTTGGCGTTTGTCGCAATGGGCTCCCCTGAAGAGGCAGATGCTGCTCTTAATTATCTCGATTCTTACGTAAGCACATCATCTTCGATTCTTCCCTTCTTCGGAATATGGAATATGGAATCCTTGTGGTAATGCATACCTTATTGGATAGAGAGGAGAGATAAATCAGATTGAGACTTATAATTATCAAGAATTAACCGATTTTAATATGGCTCTTGGATATGTACCCTAATCCACTTTATGCTAGCCTTTTGCTCTTCGAAAACCTATTAACAAGAATCATAAAATCTCTAGACTTTGTTTTTCTTTTCTTTTTGGTTGATTTCGTTCATATCTTAACGTGCATTAGTGTTTGTCTTGCCCTTTTCTTTTACGAACTAGAAAACATCTAGTCTTCTTACAAATGCCTTTCAGGAATTTGAGGGCCGCACTTTGAGGATGAATTATGCACAACAAAAAAAGAAAAAACCTTCACCACCTCCGCCACTCATGCCAGGGCCAACATTCAAAATGTTTGTAGCGAATTTTCCCTTTGAAGCAAAGTCAAAAGATCTTAAATGTTGTTTCTGCTGAAGTTATAGTTCAGGATAATCCTAGGAGGTCCACCGGCTACGGACTTGTTGCATTCAAAACTAGAAAAGAAGCTGAAGAGGCCCTTTCTACTTTCTCTAACAAGGTAGGGCAGAATTATGATTATGTTACAGCATTTCTGTCTCAAAGAATTTGATTAATGTACTTCTGTATTATTGCAGTAGACAGCTTGTGAAACATCGAGAAGAAGATGGTTCACAATCTGATGGTACTTCGGGTGAGTTGGAATCTGACAAGGTGCAAGCACATACAGCCAATGACAATTGAAAATGAAATTTTGCGAGGCCCTGGAATTGTTTGATGTGATTCGCTCCATATTTGTGGGTAAAACTTCTAAAATTTGGTCCTGAAGACCATAAAGCAATTGTATGATTTCTTCGGCATGCTTTCTCTAATATCCAACTGGCGTGTTCTATTCTATTGTCAAGAAATACTGCAGGTTGGATGCCTGCTCTTTATTTTTTGATGGAATAGATGTTGTGTAGCTACAACAGATCTCATCGTGGGAGCTTGGAGGTGGGGGAGTATATGATCGGGGATCTATCTTTTTGCAAAATAGCCACCAGGAGAACTCAAAGATTTTGCAGAATGACATAGGCTGCTTGTAAGTGAAATGTTACTGGTCTTGCCTCTTCTTAGGGCTATAACCAAATTTGGACAGCAGACGCTTCATGTCCCACATCTTATAGCATCCAACTGTCTCCTGGGTCGGCATGTAAGATTCCATCGCATGCAAATTCTGTGTAGAACAAAATGAATAACAGTCGCAGGGAAATTTTTAACCTATCCTAGTGATTCTTTTGAGAAAGACTGCTCATGCTTGCAAAGTGATCTGTCATTTTGAGCACGGCTGTTAAAAAAATTGCTCATGTGTGATACCATGGATTAAGATTTTTGAAGCTTGATCAACTTTAACAAACCTACATATTCTATGTTCTTTTTAATTTTTATATTTAATAGTTTATAAATTAAGCATTTATTTTTTTATTTAAAAATATTTCGACTCTCAAGTTTTTGTTAATAAACTTCTTATTATATTTATTTAATGTAACAAAAAAAAAAAACCTTGTCTCATTGAAGAAATGGATGGGGTTACTAGAATTTATTGGTGGTGCAAGTTATGAAAAATATTGGGGGGTTTCATAACACCTGTAGTTCATATTGTAGATCAATTTTTAAATATGGATTAATTTTGAGGGGTGTCATAATACCTGTAGTCCAATTTTTCTCTTGAAAACACTATAAAAACACCAAAAAAAAAACTTCAATAAACTAGTTTGTGTCCTTAAAGTAGTGAAAAACCAGTAAAAATTAAAAAATCAAACCGATACCATAAATATTCCCAGGCCCCAATCTGTTTTTTCAGTAACATGGGGACCCAAAACCACTACCATGGCACCATCAAACACATCCTGTTCAATATAATATTTTAATACTTAACCATTTTGGATGGTGAAAGAGGGACAATCATCTATTTTTTTCCTACTATCATTTTCCAGCTAGTCACTCTTTCTTTTTTGTTTACGGACTAAAGATTGATGAAATTAAATTTTAAAATCAAAGGAAAAATTGTGCGAGTTTATGATTAGGCATGTATTATTTTAATGTCTTCTATTTTAGGGTTTATCTTATATTAGTTTAGGACTAGGCATATATCAGGATTTTAGTATCATGACAAAAAAGTTTTTTAAAAAATGATTAATTATTTAGGTAATTCCTAAATTGACTTGTGTATCATGCATTGAAGCTTTTAGCCGTAACGAAATTCTTTTCTGAGATAATAAAGTTGCTTTTTTTATGCACCTCGCTGTTGAGTCTTGGAATTATAACCAGGATCACTTAGCCAATGAAAAGACTTGGACTTGTGATGCTGTTCCACATGGCACCTGGCCTCAATCCACTTTTGAGAAAAGCTTTAGATGTCGTGGGGACACATTGTACTCGACTCTCTTCTCTTTGTGATGGAGAACTGTGCACAAACTTTCTTAAATTGACAACTGATCATCAGAGAAAGAAAGTAGCAAGATCCACAGTGGCATGGTGAGCTGTGCACCATCCTCAGGCCTTGCACAAGTTGCTTGTTGAATGATACACACACATCATTTTTCGAAGCTGCTCGAAGTCTTTGTAACCAAGAGTTTGCTATCTTCTTCTTTCTTTTTTTACATGACCAACCCAAGCCACTCATTGGAAACCGTAAAAATACTTTTAAAAAAATTTTAATTTTTTTATTTTAAATTAATTTTTTATTCTGATATAATGATATAAAAAATAATTTTAAAAAATAAAAAA